GCCATCGGTCCTTCTCCATCCTCTCCTCTTCTCCATCTCACCCCCAGCCTGATGCCTGCTTTGCCGGAGGATCCCCCAACGGAAGCTGGAAGGGCCTCGATGGCCAGCTGAAAATAAAATAAACCAACCACATTGGTTGGGCAAAACATTTGGTGCTTGTCCAGAGGAAAGAAACAACCAGATCCTTCCAACCAGCCAAATAAGCCTCTCGTACTCTTGCTTTCCTTTTTTGAGCCCTGGTCCCTTTGGTGCGAGCTGCAACGTTTGCAGCACTGCTGCAGAATGAGGATTCGTATCACGTCAGTCACTTGGAGGTGTTAATTTCCATCGGGGGCCGGGGAGGGGAGGTGCGACCCTATTTTTAGAGAGGCAAAAATAAAGAGCGTATGCGTGAGGGTCCTGGGAGTTGCCTGCTAGGGGGTTTCAAGGCAGCGTTGTGAGGGTTTTGACAGAAGGATATAGCGCCCCGGTCTGCCAATGTTTGTTTTGCTTGGGTAAATGTTTGATTTTAGCAACACGAAAGCAATGCGTGAGCTGTGCTGGGGCTGTAATTTGATGGGACGAGGCAGCGCGGATGTGCTATGTGTAGGGAGAACTGCTAATACCGTGGGAATGTGTTTCCTTGGGGCTTGTGAAGATGGCTCCTTCAGCTGGGCCTGTCTTGAGCAGCGTGCCTTGCCCTCCCCGTCAGGCTGCCGCGTCCCGCCGCTGCCGGCGGCCCTCCCCGCAGCGCCTCCTGCCCCGTCGCCTCTCTGTGTGCTTGGGCTGAGGCAGCCCGGCCTCTGGGAACGCTGTCCTACGTGCGCGGGAGATCTTGCTGTGATGAGAGCCAAGTGCGGGGCATGTCACACCCTGTCCTGGGACCCTCGTGACCCTTGAGTCTCGAGTCGGTCAGGACAGCCAAAGAGAAAGCAGGGGAAGAGGGACAGTGCATCCCTTGACTGGAGAACACCAGGAATTTCGGCAATGGCGTAAGTGGTTGTTAATTAGCTTTTTATTGATAAAATGCTCCTGGTGATCCAGTTAGTCTGACAAGCACCAAGAGCCAACTCCTGAAGCCCGGCGCGGGCTCCTGCTGCCCTCCCTCATGGCCCGGCCGGGGTGCAGGAGCAGCAGCAGGCAGCAAGGAAACGCGTTGTGGGGCAGCACCGTACTGCACGCTCACAGCCCTGATTTGCTGATGGTTGTAACTAGACTACAGGCAAAATGCTCCTCACAGGCTTAAAGCTACAACTGTTATATTGCCTTCTCATGATCTGTCAAGACTTGGCTCTCAGACTCTTGGTATTGCTCCAAGGAGCAGCGCTGTTAATCATGAACACAGAACCACGGTAAAGCTCTCTTACTAAATCTCCAAGGAATGACCATTGGAGGCAGTCGATATTAAAGTGTTTTATTTTCCTGATGGCCACTCTTTTCAGCACTTAGTCTTCATGCTAGCAGCCAAGGGGACATAACCAAGTAGATGAGACAAGGACACTGGAAGGATTTAAAAGATTCAGGCTGTAGATCTTCTTTCAGGTTTATTCAACGCCCTTCATAAACTCCAGGAACTCTGCCAAGGAAAAGACATTGAAGGCAAGTGGGTGTTAGATGAGGACCGAAGCACCATCCATAGCTGCCGACTGCTCCTTTTGGCATGTTTCCACAGCCCGTTCTCCTTTTCCCTCCCACCTGTGTGCAAGAGGCGGAAGATCACAGCTACCATGCCTCTGGCTGCGGCGAGAGCTCCTGATGCCTCCCCATAGAAATGTCGCTAAAGCCCAGCTTTGAGGTGGGTGCTGCCGAAGTTCAGGAAGCAGCTGAGCACCCAGGGAGCAAGTGGCGTGACACCGCAGTGAGGACTGCCACAAGGGCTACAGTTTCTACTCAGAAATGGGGGGGTATGTTTGGGTTTGTTTGTTTGTTTGGGTTTTTTTGCCACTGAGTTGATATGTTTGTTTGCATTTGCTGAAAACTGTGCCGTGCCTCTCTCGGAAGTTATTTGACTGAGGTGGGTAAGCTTTATATACTGCTCTGGGCTGATATCTAAATTTATACCACCTTTGTGTCTTAAAAAAGCTTCTCTGCACTGGATCTACTCACAACTGCACAAAAGCACAGCAAAATCATTCTGAAAGAAACACTTACTACTACCGCTGCTTTGCAAGCATGTAGCGTGGCCAGCGTCCTTCCAAATGCCAGAGGTACCTCGCTGATCCACCCTCAGGTGGAGAGGACAGGTTATTTGCCAGGGGAGGATGGCAATGGTCACTCAGAGCTTGCTCTTTCTCCTGCCACTTGGTTTGAGTGCCCTAACGCATCTTTCCCCAGAGGGCAGCCAGCCCCCAAAGGAGAACCGGGGCTGCCACCAGGGAGTCATTTTTGGTGTCACTGTACTTAAAGAAACAGTACTTAGGAGCTGGTGCTTGTGTTTAGGCGTGTCTGAGACTGCAGAAGGGAGCAAGCAGGTCTCTAGTGAAAACCAGGTTTGCTTCACAGGGTCAGTGCAGCTGCCTTTCAACAGCCTGGGGACAGTTAAGGGTGCCCCAGGCCCTTGCTACAATTTTGCAAGCGTGGCAAACCACGTGCACCTGTACAAAAACAGGTGGCGATTGGACGTATTGCCTAACACTGCCTACGCAAGCTCATATGGGTTTCCAGAAGGGAGCTGAGACAGCAGGAGCTGCCTTAAAAGGATGGGACTTCCAAGGACTTGCAACCAAACTGCACACAAGAAAGACCCCTACCGTCATAGTCGATCTTGCCGTCGTTGTTTTTATCCCCATCTTTCATCAGTTCTTCTATGTCATCCTCTGTGATGGTCTCCCCTGTTGCCTGCAGCATGATCTTCAGTTCCTCGAGGTCAATGTAGCCATCAGCATTTCTGTGCAAGGACAGAATAGCTCAGAAGTAGAAAAACACATGCTGGAGAGGGAAGGCCAGGGCCCGTTGCACTTCTCCCATCATCCCTCTGCGTTCAGAGGTGAAGTGTTAGTGTTTTGGGAGGATGCTCGGTGTTTCTAAGACAATGCAAAAAAGCTCTACCCCTGCTCTAAGTGTACAACTCCATGCAGCGAGCTGCCATGGGTACGCCTGTGTTCGGGCACGACTTCTATTTACAGCATAGTCTCTTATGTGTCGCATGTTGCGTTCGCATCTCTTACTTGTCAAACATCCTGAAGAGATCGGAGAGTTCCTCTTCGGATTTTCCTTTGCTGTCATCTTTCATGCATCGGACCATCATAACTAGGAACTCATCAAAGTCTACGGTGCCGCTGCCTGTAGGCAGAATAAACACAGTTAGACAACGCTACAGTGTGTGGACTGGTAAAGCCAAAGGAGCGATCAAACTTCTGTTAGAAACCTAGGAACAAAACTCAGGAGACCCTGCAGCAAAAGGAAGTTTTCAGGGCACTGGTGTAACTGACTGAGGCCGTGGACCGAATTCATCACTGAATTTTTGCCTTTTGCAGTCGTTCTGCCCAGATAAAATGAACCAAAAGTCTCCTTTAAGTATCAATGAATGGTAATTTCTGCTATGCAGATACCTGTCCATCTCATCTGGATATTAATAATAACAGCTCCAGACTGCAGGTATTCGTGCGCTGTATTTTTACGCTGGTGGTATATTGTTGGTGTTTTGAATGAGATTTCCCTTCTTTGCCTGATTCTTAGCTGCCTTTTCTTTTCTAATTACTTAGTATGGCGTTTCTACCCCGCCTGCACGCAGACAATTTTGTTGTATTTGATTATTGGTATACTGATGTAATTCATATTGACTATTATTAACGTACGTGTGTGTGTATATACTTAAGCAGGGCAAAACTTTCTAGCTAAGAGAAACTTCATGAAATGGCCGTTGCAACGCTCAGCCTGTGTTCTCTGTTAGTATTTTAAATGGCTCTCTGCAATTTCAGAGTCCCTGTAATCTCCCCAAATGAGTTCAGGCAGTCTGTTTCCATTCAATATAGTAATAATTTTTATAGCATCTTTCAGTCTAGAAATGTCCTGGAGGAGCCATACTTAAATTTGGCGGGTGCTTAGTCTCCTTCAAGAGCTCAGCCGCAACACCCCTGCGGGCTGCTCCCTCCGGGCTGAGGCGGTGCCCCCCACGGGTCCTGCCCGGGCTGCGCAGAGGCTGAGCACCCCCCCGAATCACAGGGTCAGGGCTCATGCGCCGCTGGGAACAGGGTCTTGCGGTGGGCGAGACCGTCTGTCTGGCCGCGTGCGCTGCCAGGTGGTGCCAGAGGGGAACCTCTGATCAACGGCCGAGATGCCTAATCTTACAAAAAGCGTCACTGTCCCCTTGGGGTCCGTTCTGTGAGTAAAGCCTTAACCGCTGCCATCCTCTCGTAGTGACACTTCGCTTTCTCCAAGTTTCGGGCTCCAGCTCATGACAAAACAGGCGCAGGCTTTCCAGTCCGGGCCGCGCGT